GGCCCACCTGCCTTGAGGCCTCACCTGCCTTTAGAACCCATCACCCTGTACAGCCTGTCCCAAAGGGTGTGCCAGAGAGATGGAGAATTGCAGGACACTCCAGCTCCTGTCTCCCCCAGGCTGGCACGTCAGCCCCCAGTGCTGAGGCCACCCTGCCTCCCTGCCCCACAAGGCACCGTGGCTCTGTCACCTGGGCCCCACAGCTGCCCAGGCCACAGTGCTGTGTCCCACACGCCCTGACCCAGAGTTCTCACACCACAGAGCTGCTCGCACCATGTGGAGGACGCTCATCTCCTCGTGGAAAACTCAGGGGCCGGTGCTGCAGATACTCTTCCTTGTGCTGGAATACTGGCCAGCGCACAGGAGATGCACCTCTGATGGGGATGACACGGATGTCTTTGCCCTGGCAGTGAGTTTCTGGAACTGGCCTCCGCTCGCCCCCATGGTCGCCTCTCTGATGCCTTTCCGTCCTCCTTCCCCACTGCTTGTCTCTGCCTCAGACACTGGGCTGCAAACCTGGCATAGGGGCAGGTTAAGGGGCACCAGGCTGGGTGAGGCCCCTGTGTCTCCCCTGGCCTCTCCCTGCCACGCTCAGGCCCTGCCCAATGGACATGTGGGCACTGAGAGCTGTGTCTGGGTGCTTTGTCTTTGGCAGGCAACTGTGGCACTCTGGGAGATCCTCCAGCTGTCCTGGTTCCCTAGTGGAGTGAAGGACAATTCCCCCCGCCTCCTTCTGACTCTGTTCTTCCAAGTTTTCATCAGCACAGAGGAGATGTCAGAGGAGGTCGACACGTTCTGGAGGCGCTGCCGGGAGCAACGCAGCCTTCCCACCGCCCCCAACAGGTGCTCCATCCCAGTCCTCTATCCCTGCCACGTCCTGGGGGCTGTGGCCAGGGCTCTCGGCATCACCTGGGCTGTGCTCTGCACACAGGTTTGCAGTGCAGACCATTAAAGCCCTGCTCGGCCAGCTGGTGGGTGAAGATGTGTTGCTGGAAATAGATCGCAAGTATGCCTGGGACACGCTCCTCAACACTGACACCCACCACTATGCAGTGGGTCGACT